CGCTCCCCGTCCCCTCCCCATCCCATCGGGGCTCTCGGCCTGGGAGACCCGCGCCCAGACGACCCGGCTTTGTGTGGTGGCCTCGTCACCACTGCTGCCCCCGGCACGTCACAAATCCGGGGAGAGGCCGGCTGGTCTCCCGCAACTCCGGGAGCGAGCCTCTCCCGGAGCCATCGGCCGCCGCCCGGTCCTGCCCTGCGGGACAGGCGGGCCTGGCGCGCCACCGTCGGGGAACTCGGGAGAAAACAGGCCGGTTCCGGGGCCCTCGCCTCTCTGGACGCCTCCGCTCTGAGAGAGTTCTTATTTTCTTTTTTAACAGTGGAGTTCCTCTTTCCAGCCCGACTCCCCCACGCTAACTGGCTGGCCTTGTTACACAGGATTTGCGGAATCCTGTTGCCCTGGGTTTCTTAAACGGTTTAAGCTGTTTCTCCAACTTGGTATTTATTTACTTCTTAATTCTGGTGTCTAAAGACTGTGATCAAGCTGCGCGGAGCTCTTGGCAGAGCTTGGCCGGGCGCTGTGGGGACTGAGACGTTCAAAGCGTTACCGGGCGGCCTGGAGGAAGGAGGCGGACGACACCTCTGCCGGAGACAGGTTGTGGGGGCCCCGCCTCCGGGGCGACCGCGCTTACAGTCCAGTGTGGGGATCGAGGCTGGCACGCAAGAAATGATAGCAAGACCGAAAACCAAAAAAATCCCTGTGTTTGTGACATATTGCATGGCACAGGCCGAAGACTCCAGAGAGTCAAGGCAAGCTTTTAAGTATGGACTCCTAAGAGTTAGGTGTCCACCTTCCTCCGCAACGTGGAGGTCTTTGCCGCTGCCTGACACGTGACCTTGGCAGTGCGCTTGACCACTCAGTGTCAGAAGCCTCACTGCTTCGTGTTTCTGGACAACTGTAACCCCGGGAAGGTTTTTGTCAAGGGGAGACCAGGCTCCTAGTGCCTAGTCGTCTGCAGCCACACGGAGTGATCTGGTGACGACAGCCTTCCTGGTCCCCCTCAGCCCAGCTCCCCCGTGGATTACCTCCTCTCCAGGTTCCAAATGCATCTGGGGGGCAGGGGGGCAGGATTTCCTGACCTTGGGTGCTGCTTTGATCACCTGGGGTCTGTTCCGGAATCGCAGAGGCCAGGAGATAGATGAAGGAAAATTGAGACAGCTCTGGCAGTGGGAATTTAGGGACAATTCACTCAGTTTACACAAGTTCCTCCTCGCCTACTCGTGTCAACTCCTCTGGCTGGCTTTTGGTTACCCTTGGCTGCCCTTGCTGGTCACCAGAACCGGATTTCACTTGGAGAGAGCTGTGCATGTCCTTTGGGTGAGGGTGGCCTGAGAACTCGGTGTGATTTGGCCCTGATCGGGCATTCCCCAGAGTCAGTCCTGGGGCAGGCAAAGACAAGCGGAGTTAAGACGGAGGCATTCCTCCCCTCCTCCCTGTTTTCTCCCTGTCCTTTGGCAACCCTGCCCCCAGGTTGCAGGACTCCAGGGAATTAAGGAAGGGGAATTGCTGCTTGTTTCTTTGAGGAGTGCACCAATATTTGTGTGGGCATGGGTCTTGCAGGGAGGAAGAGAGCATCATGTTAAAACTATAAGAAGCTGCTCCTGGACACTGTGGAACATGTGCCCGACCCCCTGGCGGGTCTTTTCCAGCAGAGAGAAGACCGCAGCCGCTAGTGAGCAGCATTTTTCAGGGGAGTAGGAGACTGCAAGAAAAAGAAGGAACAACCATGATTGTATCAGTGATATTAGCCAGACAAAAGGCATATAGAAAGTGTGGTGGTTGTTTTTATTTTTTAATAATCTGAAATCTCTCAGATGAGAGTTTAGGACAAATTCTGATAAAGACTGCTGTGACTTGCCAGCTTGAAAATGCTACCCAAGTAACTTGATCAGGCGAAGCGGAGTTCACTGCTTCCAGAGTGAGGGAGAGCACTGTCTTGACAGTCTCAGTAGCGTCTCAGAGAAAGTAATGAACTTCATGGGAGGTAAATCGACTTGCTGAGAAATGCGTATCTTCAGGGAGCGACAAAGATGGTACAGCATGAGGGACCATGTGGGTTAAAGGGGACCCTGAAACCAAGCCGACAGAGGGCTCTACTAGTTTAGCTGCTGCCTTAGAGAAGATGGGGACCCTCTTGCCACTGGATCACAAGACAGTCTCTAGTAAGCTATTGGTCTTGGCTCTCATGAAGTTCAGGACTTGGTAAGATCGCTCATGTACTTATAGGTTGAAAGGTTTATGATATTTAGTTAGGCCCAGAATGAGAAGGTATTGAAGAGCTCATTTGAACTCGCAAAAAGCCTGTTCATGTTTGGGTTCCCAGAGAAAAGGTTTGGTTACCAAGGACTTGGGTAAGTCAGATAATGGCGTGGGAATTTAAGAATGTTGGGAACGCACTGCCTGCAGTGGCCAATGAGACCCAGGAATCTTCATAATGGTCTCAGTTACTGTCCAGGGACCTTTTGCACAGCTGGTTGTCTGGAGTAAGGGATTTACCTCCATGGGATCTGGTCTTGGGTCGTGCACTCTCCTCTGACAAATTGTTAACTTCTCTGGGAAAGCTGTGTGCCCTCTCTGAGCTACAAGAGTAAGCAGACAGATGATGAATCAGTCACAAGCTCACCTCATCTTTGGAACACAAAAGGTCGCCCATATATGGGATAAGAATAGAATCACAGGGCAATTTAAAGCTCTCGAGTTCCTGGCTCAGGACTTGTGAAAGGTGGCAGGGCACCTCAGTAAACTGAAGCATAGTGGTCCAGGTATGTTGTTGATTTTCCCTAGAGAAGACAAACAGATAACTGACTTTTGATTTAAAGAGACACCAAAGAAAGCACAACATAGATCTACAATTGTAAAACATGTAGTCAGTCTCCTGAGGCCTTGAAGATAAGATAGTATTTGAGTGTGGTTCTAAAGGAAAGTGGAGAGGATTTATTTATGGTCCTGGGGTCCTAAGCAAATCTATATTCCTGCCCACCGGGTTTTTAACTGGGAGGATACGAGTGTTACTCGGACTGGGACAAGGTATGACGACTCTTGTCTCTTTAAGCTTTGGATTATTAGTTTCATTCCTTCTTTAGCGCCTTGTTGTAGAGGCTGTTGTGCAAATTTGGGCAAAGGTTTAGGTGGGCCAGTCTGAACCTTGATAAGTTTAGCTCCAGTGGAATTATTTGCCTACAAAAGAGCTTCAATCTCTGCTTGATTTACACACAAAAGTACCGGAAATCAATATCCAAATTAGCCAGGACCTCATTATGAATAGGGAGATCCTCAGGGACTGGAAGGAAGAGACTATTTAATGTGGCAATTCCGTTCACACAGTAAATCCCTTGCTATTAAGTTAATGAGTGTAGTGTCACAAAGGAGAAAAGAGCGTTCCTTGGGTAAAGGTTCAAGGCTGACAGTTATGGGCTGGGGCCTAGGGAAGGTGTGTTGAGGATTATTAGATAGAGGCATGACCGGAGTACTTTGTTGACTCCAAGGTTGTATAATAGTGTTCAGGTTTAAGATTTATGTTACTGTGCCATATCCATCAAAATTTTGTAAGATTGTCCTTTAATTTTTATTTTATTTATTTATTTTTTGTGAGGAAGATCAGCCCTGAGCCAACATCCATGCCAATCCTCCTCTTTGTGCTGAGGAAGACCGGCCCTAAGCTAACATCTATTGCCAATCCTCTTCCTTTTTTCCCTTTTTCTCCCCAAAGCCCCAGTAGATAGTTGTATGTCATAGTTGCACATCCTTCTAGTTGTTGTATGTGGGACGCCGCCTCAGCGTGGCCAGACAAGTAGCGCGTCGGTGCGTACCGGGGATCCGAACCCAGGCCGCCAGTAGCGGAGCATGCGCACTTAACCACTAAGCCACAGGGCCGGCCCCGTGTCCTTTAATTTTTAGAGAAATGTTTCCTTGTGAGTTTTAGAATGGGAAACTGAACACCTTCATTGACAACTTCTTTTTTTTTCTTTTTCCTTTAGTTTCTTAGTTCTAGACCTCTTTCAAAATAGAGCTCTTTCAAGGTTTTGGAGGTCTGGCCATGGGACTATTTCCCCTTCTACTTTTTGCTTGCATGTTAAATCCCCTATTTCTGGTTTAAGGCCATTCACAAAAGATAAGAAGGAGTGCCAGAGTCACGTCTGCTTCGGATCTACTCCTGCACAGTGTCCCTGTCGCTATGTATTAAAGAACCTATCCCTGAAGTCTCCATTAGACTTCTTTTTGGCTTGAAGAACTGAATCAGAGCATGACCTCTTTTCACAAGAAAGACAGAGGATAGCCTCCAAAGGACGCTGAGCAACAATCTACAGCTTCTCTAAACCCCTACGGTTTCCTATGCAATTCAAGATCTTTTAAGTCACCATTGAGGGTTTTCTCATTCTGACTTTTTCATTGAACTTTTTGCATCTGAGGTTCCAACTAACATATGAACTAATTGTTGTCTATCTGGATTATATGTCTCACAAATGATTCTAAATTTCTCTGCAATGTCCTATCTTGTCTAGGCCTTGGAGAATCTT